CCGTCCTGTTTTCCTTTGATGTCTCGTTTATGTCGCTGTTCTGAGATGATGTTTGAATTTTGTTGGTTTTTATTGTTTAAAAAGAGTCACTGAAAAAATATCAAACAAATAAAAACATGTGAAATATCAGTAAGTAAACAAAACAAAAGCGAATGAATCCATGTTTAGGAGCGGAAACGTGAGCGGCTCGTTAGCGCTGCTGTCCGGACGGTGATCGGCTTTGGTTGGTTAACGAGTCACAACAAACAGAAACTATTGCTTAAAAAGTCAAATCAGAAAGACTGAACTGTGTCTGTTTGTCCTGCAGACTCTAAAGCCATCGTGGACGGGAACCTGAAGCTGATCCTGGGTCTGATCTGGACCCTGATCCTCCACTATTCCATCTCCATGCCCATGTGGGAGGACGAGGACGACGAGGACGCCAAGAAACTGACCCCCAAGCAGCGTCTGCTGGGCTGGATCCAGAACAAGGTGCCCCAGCTGCCCATCACCAACTTCCACCGGGACTGGAGGGACGGCAAGGCGCTGGGAGCTCTGGTGGACAACTGTGCCCCCGGTAGGACCCGGACCTCAGATAGCCGAGGAACTGTGTCGGACACGTACAGAAACACTGGCGGCTTAATTCTAATAATCCTAATCAGTAGTGGAAGCTGAGCTGACTGAAGGAAATTACCTCTAAAATAACAGACGTCAGATAAAACGTTGCTCTGATGTTACAGCAGCTGCTTTATTTATTTATCTCAGTAGGTGGTTGTTGTGTAACTGATCAAAGTAAAACATGAAGTTCATACTGAAGTAATTAGCTGTGTTTGCGTCGTGTTGCCGTTTTAATCAACAGGAAGCTGAAGTTAGAGTCAAAGTTAAAGCATCAGTTCAAGTAAAAGGGTTTTAATTCTGTAAAGCTGATACGAAACAGATTCTTCTCCTAAAGTGACAAACTGATGATTTATTCTCGTATCTTGAAAAGAAAATGGAGACGACGCCACCGTCCAGACTCGTGTTTGGATGTTTGGAGGTTTTTTTCTTGAAGGCTAACGAAGCTGCTTGTTAACGTTTGACCCTAAACCCCCCCCCAGGCAGCTGGGAAAGGGAAAGACAGGAAAGCGTCAAGTAGTGGACACACTCCAGCTCTGTTAGGCTGATTAAAGTCAGGATGAGGATAAACTCGACTCGTGTCCCGACTTAGGAGGACGACGTGTCGGTCCCCACATGGCAGGTAGGACAGACGGGCACACACTCGGTCCAGTCAGCTGATTTAAATCCTCTTATAACGAGCTCAGGACCGACCCGGGAGGCTCCGTGTGCTCCTCATGGCAGCAGAAACATCAGCACTGCTTCGTCTGAAAGGTAAAAAATAAACAGCACAAGGACTAAACCTGCTGATTGGACATTAAACTCTGGAGCTCCTGATTGGACGTTAAACTCTGCAGATTGATGCTTATTGGACGTCCAGGCCTGTTGTTTTTATATCTCAGCGTTAGACCAGGACTCTGGCTGATACTTTTCTTCAGACTAAGATCTTTTACTTCTCATTTTAAAGTCTCGTGTCTGAAACATGAAGACGTTGGAGCTCGTCCATGTTTTCACGTCTTTATTTGGTCATTTTCATCAGATGACTTTTCTGTGATTTCTCCTGATTCTGTTACGTTTTTATTTAACGTCTCCAGAAGCTCTGATGGACGCTGACTTCAGTTTCTAAACTCTTTCTCCTGATGCGTCACATTTACTCGTCTTAATCATGAAATACTTGCAGGTATTTGATATTAAAGACGTTCTCTGTCTGACCAGAACCAGCCGGTACATCTGGAATCTGAACTTTATGACAAACAGCAGCTAAAGTTCAGGAGAGTTTCCATAAAATGATCTTTGACTAACGAGTCCAGTCCAACACAACTGAACCTGCTGCTTTGACGATTTGTAGGAAACTCTTTAATTAATTAGAAATAAAACATACACATGAGCTAAATATACGAACGTCTTCACATTTCACTGAGCTGTTTGTGTTTCCCTCTCAGATTTTAAAGCCTCAAAAAATTATCATAAAATTCTGTTTTCCCTTCATTTGACGATAAAACATTCCATCGTTAGTTTTTAGTTGTTGGATTCAAATGTCAGACGACAATATGAGAAATAAATTCTCATTTTATTTAAGTATAAATGATTGTAACGGTCGTGTGACAAATACTTTACCTTCAGTTCTCCTATAAAACATGCATTTGTTATTAGATTTTATTGTAAAATCTGACAGGAAGTTGGAAAAGCTGCCAAAGTTTTATGGTTTTAAGGAAATAAACGTTAATATTTTATTGTGTTTTCTGGTTTTATTGAGCTGCACTTTGTTTTTTAGTCATATTTAAACCTCCAGGTGAAAGTTTATTAAAAATATGTCATAAATCTTTTCTCTTTAATATTCCTGCTATATCTGCATCTGTTATCCGCTAAAAGATTTCTATTTTTTAACCAGAGGAGTATTTTTTCGGGGCTCCTACTTGAACTAAAACTCATCTTCGGCCTCTTTACCTGCAGGTTTCTGACTTTATTGAACATTCTGGATGTTTCAGGTTTTGGACTCTTTATGTGAATAAACTGTGTGTGTGTTCAGGTCTGTGTCCTGACTGGGAAACATGGGATCCCAGTCAACCGGTGGAGAACGCCAGAGAGGCCATGCAGCAGGCTGACGATTGGCTGGGAGTTCCTCAGGTAAACACACCTGCTCACCTTCAGCGCCGAGCTTCAGCTGCAGGAGTTTGATACGAGTTTATCATCAAATCTGAACACAAAGAACGACTTCTGTTTGACTTTAACGCTGAAGAACTGAACACAGTGAGCTGGTTGTGACTGAAGTCTTTAGTTTTATGACGTCACTTCTTTTGTTTGTTGTAATAAATGTGGAACGATTGAAGTGAACCAAAGAGTCGCTGCAGGTCACGTGTTGGAAACCGTCGCAGCCAGAAGACGTCAGAAGAAATTCTGTTTTCATTTGTGTTTCCTTTACTTTACATTTCGGGGCGACACCTCGGTGCTCTTTATTTATCTATTTATTGTCATTTCTTTTTTAATTTACCGTGCTCGCTCTGTGACTTTACGTCTCCCGGTCCGACTCGGACCCAGTCCGACTCAAACCCGGCCCGACTCGGCCTGCAGACGGAGCTGAAGTCGCTCGTTCACAAACTGAGCGAGTTGCGTCCGTCTCAGGAGTTTTCAACCTGCCACAGATGCTGAAAGAAAACCTTTAAAGGGAAGAACATGACCGGGACGGCTTGTTCGCTATCTGCAGACTATGAGACAGACCTGAAGCTTGAGCTGAAGAGTCTCGACAAGAGTTCATGTCTGCCCATAAAACAGAGACTGAACAGCTTCAGTTTGCTTTTGAATCAGCGTTTGGTTGTTAAAACTCCCAGAAACTCGCCGTCGGTGTTGTTTGACTTGCTGGAGAGTGTGAGGATGATGCAGGTGTCTCTGAGTAGTGCTGTGTCCTGTAACAGCAGCTCCAGGCCTCCACTCGTGTTAAATGGCGTCTTGGTCTATTTCCAGCCTGCAGCGAGACGAGCAGCGGTTCAAATTAGCAGCAGCGACGCCGTCAGCTCGTTAGTCAGGAAGCCAGAGTTTCTTAAAAGCTGTCGTTAGCAGTCGGTTTAAACCGTCGGATTAAAGTAAACCAGACCCTCTGATCTGGTTTATCATCTACAACAGCTTCAGTGTCATGAAGCTGTGCAAAAAGCTATCTTCATGCTTTGAATGTTTCTAAGTGAGAGAGTTTATATAAAACATGTTCTGGTGTTTCCTCCTCATCAGGCCTGCAGCTCAGATTCTCCATATTTGAAATAAATAACGTTTTCCTGCAGAAACAAGTCATCGCTTCACCAGAGTTTATTTAAATCTAACAGAAGGTTTGTCCAGGTAGTTTTCTTAAATTGCATCTCATTGCATTTCCCAGCGATGAGCGGCTGAATGTAAATGAAAGTCCTTCACAGATTGGAGCTAATTACAAACAGAGGAATCGTTTAGATGTGATCGACTGCTTTTGCACTTTTCATATTATGGTTCAATGTTTTGTTTTTATTACTGATGAACGATATTAACACTTCTGGCCGATACTGACATCCGATATGAACATTTCTGATATCGCCGATAACTGATGTCAGAGATGTCGATATTCTATTTTTGTTCACATCGAAAACTGAGCATCAGTCAGCGCTGTGAGAAAACTATTCAACAGAAGCCCAGATTAGACCACGTGCTCGTCTTTACTACGTAACAAGTAAACTAAGTAAATAAAACATATTTTCCGATATATGGGAAAAAACACTGATATCGACCGATATCGATGTGGACGCCGATATATCGTCCATCCCTCATTCTAACATTACCTTATTTTCAGCCGAATGTTTTTTTCTTATTTTTTTATTGAATTGTTTTAATGCCTCCGGAGCACCAACTTACATCAACACAATGACATAAAGCTGCTCTTTAAACAAATAAAGTATTAGAGTCACTGAATATCTGCTTGTTGTGTTTAACTGTTAGAGATAAACCAGGTCAGCAAAGCATCGTGTCAGAATAGTTTCCTGAAGAGTCTTTCTCCTGAGCAGCTGTTTCACATTTCACAAACCCTTCATGTGATTTCACAACCGTTTCCTTCGTTATTTGTCTCCTTTGGAAGCAGCTTTCTCTTCGGTTTGTCTTGTGTTGAAGGTTTTGGACTCGACGTGGAGTCTGACGTCAGCTTGCTCCGGCTGTTTGATCGTTAGAGGTTCTAATGAGGTCGTCTGACGGGTTTCTGCCAGAAAATCACTTTTCTAGCCAGCGCTCTGGTTCCTGCTGCTCAGAATCATCTGCAGCTGCAAATGTATTTATCTCAGCATTTACAGGTGACGCTTAATCAACACCAACATGCTCAGGAGGTCGTTAGCCCGTTAGCGTAGTAGCTAACGTACATCCACAGACTTAAAATCATAAAAACGGGTAAACTGCTTCACACGGACCGAAGTGTTTTAAAGTTCTTTGTTTGAACGACATTAAACTTTTTGACAAAATCCCACAGACGGAACAAAACTGTTCAAACTACATAAATCACATCTGAACGGTGATAATGCTGCAAAACATGATGAGTGTGTTTAATGTGGAAACTCCAGTCTGGAATCAGCTTGTTGTGCAACAGCTGGAGTCTGATTTAGAACCTCTTTAACATCACAGAACAAGTAATTAACCAGCTAATCAATAAATCACTGGATGTGTTTATAATCAGCTGTTATGACAACCCATTGATCATTTCTGAAGCAGGAATAGAGAAAAAAAAGAACTTTTTCAGATTTCAGGCTCTTAAATGTGCAGATTTTATGCTTTTCTCTGTTTTTTTTTAATGTGTGGTTGAAAGAAACAAGTTTGTAGATTCTCAGGAATCCGAGATGCTTCCTCGGTTCTAACCAAACAGTGGAGCTCCACGTCTTTATTCTAACCTCCAGCTCAAGGTGTGAACGGTGGTGAAGCTGCCTCAGGATGGATGTCAGGACTGCATTATGAGTACCTGATAGGTGGTGTCGTCGATGCCCTCTTCTGTCTTCAGACTGTTGTTCCAGTTGAACATGTGTCTTCCTTTATTCCCCTTTCAAACCAACAATCTTCTGTCTAGAATGATTGTTGACACCACCTAGAACACCTCTAGGATGAAGGTGAAGCTTCTTCAAAAACAAAACAAAAAAAATGCTTTAAAAAACATTCAGCATTCATCAGGTGGTTTTACAGACCAAACTTTTTATCACTTATTCTTATAAATCATCTTAAAAGCTGAATTTGAATCTAAAACTATGCAACGACAGTTAAAGTGGCCGACAAGTCACGCAACAGTCGTCCGTCTTCTACAGATTACATGTAAAGAGAAACTTATAGACGCAACAGAAAACGTAGTAAAGAACAAACTGTCAGTTAATGAAACGTATATATTACGTCTGTCTGCTGCAACCTTTGCTGTCGGTCAGTACGACTGTCAGCAGGAAGTTCTCATCTGTGAACATAAAACTCTGCATCGTCTGCGTATATGAGCATTCAGCCGTCACCTGTTCACCGTCTGTTGTCCTGGTTTTCTTCTTCAGGTGATCGCTCCGGAGGAAATCGTTGATCCCAACGTGGACGAGCACTCGGTCATGACCTACCTGTCTCAGTTCCCCAAAGCCAAGCTGAAGCCCGGTGCCCCCCTGAGGGCCAAGACGCTTCACCCGAAGAGGGCCAAAGCCTACGGACCAGGTGAAGCGGACCACCGGGACCAAAGTCCATTGAAAAACTCACCATTTTTAATCCTTTTAATTTGCTTTAACTCTCAGATGAGCAGATCGCTCAATCAGCAAGTTATTTAGGGACATTTTCAGCGAACAATAAATAGTTTGTGTCCCTTTAATCAGAGTCACCTGGTTCTAGGGAGTCGTGACAAGTATCTATATTTCACTACTTCAGTTGTTTTATAAACCTTATAACTGATTATTTGTTGATTTACTGATAGTGAAAATATCTGTTAGTTGTAGTTCAACTTATTTTGAACTTATAGTGAAATAAGTCGGGTTTTCTGGACAGTTCGTTGTTGTTTTGAAATAAATCAGGAAAAAAAATGAGCACATTAAATCCAGAAACAGTGAAATTATGTCAAACGTGCAGATGAAATATTTCAGACGTAGAGTTTAATGATGCAGTTAGAACGCCTTGTAAAACCTCCCTGTATAACGACATAAATAACGTTCTTGTCATTGGTCCTGTCAGGTATCGAGCCTCGAGGTAACATGGTTCTGAAGCCAGCAGAGTTCCTGGTGGAGACGGTGGAGGCTGGACTCGGGGAGGTTCTGGTTTACGTGGAGGATCCAGAAGGACACACAGAGGAGGTGGGAACTCACATTTACTTTAACGCATTAAAGTAGAGAACAGCTGAAACTCATGGTGAATTCTTTGTGTGTCCGTCAGGCCCGAGTGATCCCCAATAATGACAAAAACCGGACCTACTGCGTGGTCTACCTGCCCAAAGTGGAGGGGCTTCATAAGGTCAGGAACACTCACCTGGACAACAACCAGCCTGCGCTGTGTTGGTTCTGATGGGTCTCGGTTCCTCTGGGGTCTAAATGTTTTGAGTCTTTAGACCCTGACGGGCCTTTGTGGTTCTGTTCCCTCCAGGTCAAGGTGCTGTTTGCTGGGCAGGACATTGACAGGAGTCCCTTCATGGTGAATGTTTCGAAGGCAATCACAGGCGACCCGAGCAGAGTTCAGGCCCGCGGGCCGGGACTGCAGTCGATGGGGAACGTAGCCAACAAACCTACATACTTTGATATTTATATTGCAGGTAACTCAAATCATCACTGTGCTGTTTTAGTAATCACATCGGAAAACTGTCAGAGTTTGAGTAAATCAGCTTTACAACAGATGAAGGAAACAAAAAACGTTTATTTTCTTCAGTTACAAGATGTTTATGATTAAAAGTAAAGACTGTAAAGACTATAAACGATCTCTCTCTTGGTCTCCACAGCAGCTAGATTTCGTTTTTCCGGTACTTTTCCAGTAACACTCACATTCCTCCTCCGTTGTCTAAAGGTCTTGTTGTCCTCTGTCTGTCCACCAGGGGCGGGTACTGGAGACGTGGGCGTCATCATTGTGGACTCGAATGGTCGGAGGGATACAGTGGAGATTGTCTTGGAGAACAAAGGCGACAGTATATTTCGGTGCACCTATGCTCCCGTCCTGGAAGGGCCACACACCATCTACGTGACCTTTGCTGGGCAGCAGATTCCCAGAAGCCCTTTCACCGTCCACATCTCGGAGGGTAGGTTTAGTTACAGCTCTGGTTTTGTATTTTCTTCTCAGTGTTCTCTGTATTTCATGTCAAAGTCTGAATTTTCTCTTACGAGCTGTCATGAAATGTCCTGAGTTCTTCTGAAACGTGCGGATGTTTTATTTTCATTCAGTCCATCATTTAATATGATTTAATATGATTTAATATGATCCACTAACGTGTTGACCCTCCCTCTTACTGTCACCCATCCACAGCACTGATTTCTAATCGAAGTGAGAATCACTTTGATCTTTGATGGTCAGACCAATTTCAGAATTAGACTTTTTTATGACATTTTGAAGCTGCAGACCCAAAACTAACCTGTCGTTTGCTTGGGACCTCTTTTGGGACATTGTCCCACAGGACTTGGATTTGACCCTGGACTGACGATGGGATTTAAATCATTCTGGCTTGACAGTAAATTTGACTTTGGACCTGTTGGAGTTCTGTCTTAATTTAGAACCTGACTTAGGGGTTGCCCTTGATTTAGGGCCATGAGTTGGGACATACTCCCTTGACTTGTGACTGGACCTTGAACTAGCCTGTCTTTGACTTTGGATCTCATATGTGATGTTTTCTGACGGGATTTGACTTGTCTTGGGACTTGCTGTTTTGACATGTGAACTTTGAGTTTGCCCCAAATCCCCCTTGATTTAGGATATGACAGGAAACTTTGATGATCTGGGACCCTTGGATCTGACCCAGGATTTAGTTTAGGACTACCTTCACATAATCCTGGGGTTCTGTCTTATCTTTCTGTAGAACTTAACTTACTTAAATTACTTTGATTTAGGGCCATGAGTGGGGACATACTCCCTTGATCTATGACTAGACCAAGAACTAGACTGTGACTTTGGACCTCATGTGATGTTTTCTGACATGACTTGTCTTGGGTCTTGTTGTTTTGCCCAAAATTCCCCTTGATTTAGGATATGACAGGAAACTTTGTTGATGTTAGACCCTTGGACCTGTCCCAGAATTTGGGACTACCTTGACTTGATTTTAAGTTGACATTAATTTGAAACCTTTCTATTATTGTTCAAGGACTTGATTTTGGACTTGCCTGTCTCATGTGATTTGACTGAAGCTTTAGCACCTTGAGACAAACTTTACTTCTATGACTCTGGTTTGTCCCACCTGTTTGGTGGTCCTGTCGTCCATCAGTCTGGAGGTCTCTGTCGTCCCTCTGCCGTTGTACAATTGTGTCATCACTGTTGTTCCCTCCCTCAGTTTCGCAGAGCGGCCCTCCGCCTGGGTCTCCGGTGCAGGTTGTACCTCAGTCCACTCGCACCCCACCCTCAGACAAGACCAGGAGAGCCCCCCCTCCTACACCGCCCAAACCCAGGCGACCAAGTTAGTACAGGCCCGGGTCTGGGGTGTGACTGGAGCCTGCCTGCGCTAGCCTGGTCTTTTCTACCTGAACTCAAACCATTCCTACCTCGGCCCCTCTGGACGGGGTTTCCCGGCTTTACAGCATGAGCCAGTGCCTGCTTCGTCCTGAGCAGCTTTTCCCTTTTCTACCACTCAGACTCAGCGTGAATGTGGATGTGTTGAGACCTTTCTGGATGTCGTCAGGATAAAAGATCAACAAGTATTTTAATCACAACCAAAAGCTGTTTTTTTTTTTTTTTCATGTACTTCTGCAGAAATTCCAGCTTAAATTATTCACATGTGGGTGAGTTTTGGAGGCCTGGAGCATGTTATCACAAATGTTCCTGTCCTGGGACCCCTTTTGTAAGGTCTAGCAGTTTCTTATTTGAGTGCTGTGTGAATCTTGGTAAAGCTACTTGTATACCATACCAAAAAAACTCCCCATCTAGCAAAATACAGTGGCACTTTGTAAGCTATGCTACGTAGCTAAGGTCTTCTTTGATAGTTTATTACTTCTCCTGCTAAGAGTGACAAGCTGTGACAACAAAATAAATCCATTCAATCAAGTTTTTATTCAAAATCTAGCCAATAAACATCAATATATCAGCCCACATTGACATTCATTATCAGGGTTTTTTTGTGTTTTTTTTGGTTTGAATTATCATCCAGAGGGGCTTTGTATGTGTGGCTGGTCATTTCATGTCCACATCTGGAAGCAGCTCCAGCTTTAGTTTGGTTTAGATTGATTTATCCAACACGTTTGCAGCTACACAACATGTTCAAGACTGGAAAACTAAACGGGCAACGTGAGGCCCATATCAGCCCAGGTTCACCTGCTGTCTTCTGTGGAGTTTAGTTACTTCCAAACCCAGACTTGAGTACAGAGTTTGACTGAGGTTCCCTACTGAGGCAACTAAATAAAAATATGGGTCCACTGGATTAATTCCACACTTTGAATAACAACTAATGAGTGAACATAACAATGTTAATATAACCTGCAAACTTAACACCTTTAAAATAACGTCGGACTACAGTTCACTCTACATAATTACAGTCCATGGAAGAGTTAGGCGCCTGAGTGGCCATCTTCATACTCTTCTTCCTCATCACCTTTACTGTCTGCTCCACCTCCCTCTTCATCCTCACCATCAGTAAACCTTCCTCCTGCAGCACTTTGTTTTCTGATGTTCCCTGTTGGCAGGACGTGAACTTACTCGGTATGAGAAGGTATGAAAACCTCTTTGTGTCTAAACTCTCAGCTCCCATGTTTTCATCCTGCAGCTCTGAACTCTTTGGTGTCATCTCGTCTTCATCTTCGCTGCTTTTCCCTTTTCAGCTTCAGCTTCTCTCAGCGCTGATCCGCTGACTAACAGAGAAAATCCTGCAGCTCTGTGTGTGGTGGTGTCCATGTGTGTTGTTGGAGAAGATTAGCTATCTGAGCTAAAACGTTAACAGTGTTGTTATACTTGTACACACTAGTTCATAATTCAGAGGAACACATTAGAGATGAATGTGCACAGACTGGTTGGAGAGCAAATAGTGCTTATTCAGGACCATTCATGGTGATGCTAAGTGCTTTAGTGGAAGCAACTGGACCAGTTTGGGTGCTTAAAGGTGTTTGAGCTCTCATCCAAGAGGCTTCCTCAGGTCTGGACAAACTTTGAATATTTTTAGCATCTTGTTGTCATTTAGGACCAATTTTGAATAATTTTGGGCACATTATCAGCCATTTAGGACACTTTGAGTCATTTTGAACTTATTTTTGTTATTTAGGACAGATGTTGATTCGTGTAGACAGACAAGGTATTTATTTTCACTCCCAACTTACATGAATCAAGACTCATAAATGACCTGAAACTGACTTGAATCACAGTTTGTCAACAAACTAAAACTCAAAACTCAAGGCTCATCAGTGACCTAAACCTCCTTCTGTAGGCGATTCAGATCCTAAAGAGCTTCCAGGTGGCATTTAGACCATTTTTGAGGTTGCTGAGGAGCTTGAAGGAAACTTTTAGGAGGTTTCTGGGATCCTGCTTGAACTTGAAGGTCTTTTAGAAGGCTCTTGAGGTAACTGAAAAAGTTGGAAAAGTCTTTTATTAGGTTTTAGAGGTCATGAAGGAGACCTCGTGTCTTACAGAAGGTTTCAGGGGTGTTGAACAGGTTGAAGGAGATTTTAGAGGTCCTTGATGAGGTTGCATCTTGAAATATATTTGGCCTCTGCAGAAGAAGAAGCCTCTGCAGGTGTTTAGGTTTCTGTAAGTCTTGTTGAAGTTCCAGATCTCCTTGAGGGAATTCAGAGCCTCAGAAGTTCCAGTGGTCCTTCTTTAACTGCATTTTAGAGGTCTCGAGAAGGTGTTATTGGTACTCTGATCTTTTACAGACGTCTTTAAGAAGACTGTGCAAATCTTTAAGGGCTCAGAGATCTTGTTGAAGTTCCAGAGGTTCTTGAGGAGGTCTTTATCTTACAAGGCTCGGGTTGTTTACGAGCCTTGATTTGTTCAGGTCATTGATGAGCCTTGATTGGATGAAGGTCCTCTTGGATGGAGGTGAAACATCCAGTAAACCTTCTACTAAAGCACACAAATCAGCAACTGCCCAGCAGAACTGAAGAACTATTTTTCTACCAGGTTCACTTCTAATTAAGATCTTTTTTTAGCTGAAAACAGAAGTCAGACCAGTGAGAGTTGAGTGGAAAGTCACCGGCGGGCGAGTCTTTAATGGTGTCTTCTTAGGAAAGAGGAGAACAGGACTGTTAGTTTCACTTTCACTTTAACGTTGTCTCCCAGTCTAACATTATCCCACATCTCCGTCTGATTGGTCCAACCAGCCTGTAACCCGAACGCCTGCCGGGCATCGGGTCGAGGTCTGCAGCCGAAGGGCGTCCGGGTGAAGGAGGTGGCAGACTTTAAAGTTTACACCAAAGGAGCCGGCAGTGGAGAACTCAAAGTCACCGTGAAGGGACCAAGTAAGGCCCTGAAACCAGAACTGCATTTAGAAGACGAGTTTCACTTCATTGTACACGAAACTGAGTCTGTTTGTGATTTTTGACCTTATAATTACACAAACATGCATTTTATTAAATTATCTGTAAAGGCTAAAACATCTTAATCTGAGCAATAACAAAGTCACTTATTTATATTCAGAGCTTTAACCTCATATTTTATTCTAATTGATGAAACTGACTTTCGGTATTTGATAATTATTCATTTATAACCTATTAAAAACAGTTTAATTACTTAAAATACACGAGTCTATCCGTTAATGGATGAAACATTGGTAGGTACCACTGAATTGAACCCCTAATTGAACTTTTTTGTTTCATTCTAGTGAGTGCAGTTCACTTTAACTGTCACTGTAGTCGTCCTTATACAAGGCATTAATGTCACCTGACAGGATTCAGCTACAGCAGGATTGTCTAAGTCCAAATATTTTGTTATTAAAATTAAAATAGTTTCAATTAATTGCTGAGAAATTGATGGTTGCATCATTGGTTTTAAATTTCTTTGACTACATTTGGTCACAATTATTTTAACAAAAATGAATGTTTATTTTCGGTAACTTTTAGTGAATTTCTATTTGAATTGCAGCTGTTGTAACTTCTGGTTTGTTGCGGTATTGATTGTGGGTGATGTTTTATTCCAGAGGGCCTGGAGGAGCCGGTGAAGGTGCTGGAGATGGAAAACGGTGTGTATGAGTGTAATTATTACCCCATCATGACAGGAAAGTACATCGTCACCATCACCTGGGGAGGAAACAGCATCCCACGCAGGTGAGATCCACGGACCGTTGAAGTTTATTTTAGTTCATATAGAAGATGTGCGTTACAGTGATTGTGCTACGGGTGCATTTTAAAGTGTGTAACATTACATTTCACCCACATTTGTGTAATAAAGTGCCACCATGTAAATGCAGAATTCTAGAGGACCCAGGATTGAACCCTGAGGTACTCCAGGCTCACATTTATGTAGAAAAAGTGTCTTGTTTTTCTGGAATAATGATAAAAACCAGACTTACTGTGTGTATTCGTGTATTTTCAGCCCATTTGAGGTGCTTGTGAGCGAGGAGGCGGGGCCTCAGAAGGTCAGGGCCTGGGGTCCGGGTCTGGAGACTGGAATGGTCGGGAAGAGCGCCGACTTTGTGGTGGAGGCCATCGGCACCGAAGTGGGAACTCTCGGTACATCACAAGAACACAACAGTTGGTCTCAAACCCAAAGAAGCATTCAGTGGCTCACCAACTAGAGGCCTGAAATTAACTGTATTAATGCAGCACTTTTCAAATTACTATTACAGGAAATACAGAGAACCTTTGAAACAAATGGATCTACTCAGTGTACAGAGTACAACCAAAATAACCGAAAACAAAGAAAGCAAAAGGGTTTTAGGTTCCTTTTTAAAGTTTGGATTGATTTAGATTCTCTGAAAAAATGCCAGAGGTCAAGTCAAGGAGCTGCTTTAACTTTTGTTTACCTGAAGATCCTCCCATGAAAACTCTGAAAATCAATAATCCTAACAGAGACGGCAAGCCAGTAGAAGGTGGCTAAAACTAAGTTGGGTAAAAAGCCTTGTGGCAGAGTTTGGCCAGAGATCTCTCACAGAATGTAGTTGCTGCAAATATTTGCAAATTTCAAATGAGACGTATAGAATGAAGTGATTTTACCGGAACATCACGATTTTGAGCCTAGATTTGGTCATTTTTCATGGACCATCTGAAAAGTTCAAAATCTGACGGTTTTTTTTTTTGTTTTTACAGTTTCTGGCTGATAAATTAGTTCATTTAGATTTTTTTAAAATGAAAAAATAACGTTTTAAACCCGCTGATGGCTTTTAGGGTTCCGAGGTTGACTCTTTTGGTGTTTGTCTTCAGGCTTCTCCATCGAGGGTCCGTCTCAGGCTAAGATCGAGTGTGACGATAAAGGCGACGGATCGTGTGATGTTCGCTACTGGCCGACCGAGCCGGGCGACTACGCCGTCCACGTCATATGTGACGACGAGGACATCAAGGACAGTCCCTTCATGGCTCACATCCTCCCTGCTGCCAACGACGTCTTCCCTGAGAAGGTGGGACCAGAACCGGCTGACTTTAAAGTGATTTCTCTGGTGGCGTACTGCTAAACGTGTTAAATGTTCGGTGTCCTCAGGTGAAATGTTTCGGTCCTGGTCTGGAGCCTCTCGGCTGCATCGTCAACAAACCCGCCGAGTTCACCATCGACACCCACGGAGCCGGCAGAGGGGAGCTGAAGCTCTACGCTCAGGTCAGAACCAAATAACATAACTCACCGTCCATCTTTGTTGTTTCTGAAACCCCTCCTGTGACATGATGTCTGTGTTTCAGGACGCAGAAGGTTTCCCCATCGACATCCAGATCACCGATAACGGAGACAGCACCTTCTTCTGCGTTTACATTCCCACCAAACCCATCAAACACACCATCATCATCACCTGGGGCGAAGTCAACGTGCCCAACAGCCCCTTCAGGGTAAAACCAACACCAGTCCACCACACGTTTACCCTTCAGAGCAGCAGTAGCCCCGTTAGCAGAGCGTGGACCGCTACATGTCTAGTATCTGTACCTCCCAACTGGTCCAAAAAGCCCAAATTGTTGAAGACAAACGGAAACTGTTGTTGTTTTTCCTCTCAGATATGTAAAGTTATACCACCGTTATCCTCAGCAGAAAGCTCCTGAAAGCCACTAAATGGATTTTGTTGTTCCCAGCTGCTACCAAAGTCTATCAGAGTCTTAGTTTCATTACCTTCATTTTTTGTCCATCTCCCAGTAGAGGTTTGATCCCAGGTCTAGTTCAGATGATTGTTGATGACCGAGATGTTGTTGATCAGGTGACCATCGGAGAAGGAAGCCATCCAGAGAACGTAAAGGTTTACGGTCCAGGCGTGGAAAAAACGGGCCTGAAGGCCAACGAGCCGACGTACTTCACTGTGGACTGCAGCGACGCCGGACAAGGTGAGACGGCTCGACAACTACACCTGCTTTGTGTCTTTTATCCTGGTTTCACCAAAGTCCACCGAGTCCAGGACGTCGGAGTGTCTCTGTTTTAATCTGCACTTAAATGAGGGAACACCAAACTTCAACTGATTAGCTGTCAACAAATAAATTAGTCACAAACTACTTTAAGATCAGTTTGAGTGAGTTTTTAATGAAAACAGTCTAAATCACCAGATTAATCAACAATGAAAATAACTGACATAGTCGTCAAACCAAACTCCATTCAAAAAAGTTCCAATTTAAGGCCTGGCAGAGAACATTTAGGAATGAATCCTGGACTTTTAGCTCTGATTTGGTCGCCTCCAGCAGATTTAGAATCAGAATGAATTTCTTTCACCTGTCGGACCTGAGCTAACGCCGCTCACCTGTCTGTGGCTGCAGGTGACGTCAGCATGGGCATCAAGTGCGCTCCAGGTGTGGTCGGCCCCGCAGAGGCCGACATCGACTTTGACATCATCAAGAACGACAACGACACGTTCACGGTGAAGTACACGCCCCCCGGGCCAGGCCAGTACACCATCATGGTTCTGTTCGGAGACCAGGTGAGGCAGCCGACAGGTGAGTCACTGCTGCAGACGCACAACGTTCAAACTGGGCCTCACGCTCACCTGTCACCTGCAGGAGATTCCCATCAGCCCCTTCAGGATCAAGGTGGAGCCTTCGCACGATGCCAACAAAGTCCGAGCAGACGGACCCGGACTGAACCGGACAGGTGAGGTTCTAGTGACGCACAACTCAGAGTCTTCAAAGCACCATAAAGAGACAAAAAGCTACCGCAAAGAATCGTAAAATGTCCACAGAAAGACGCTAAATGAGACAAAGAGACACAAAACTGTGACTAAAGACACAAACGAACCTACAGTGACGTGTCCGTATGCGTTGTGTGTCCTTACCTGTGCAGGTGTGGAGGTGGGGAAGCCGACCCACTTCACCATCTACACCAAGGGAGCAGGAAAAGCCAAACCCGAGGTCCACTTCACCGGAGCAGCAAAAGGCGACGCCGTCCGAGACTTCGAGATCATCGACAACCACGACTACTCGTACACGGTCCGGTACACGGCTGTGCAGCAGGTAACAGCACACCTGGGCAGGTGAGGGGGCGGGGCCTGGGCGGGGCCTGGGCGGGGCTAACCAGTGTGTGTCTGTCTCAGGGCAACATGTCCGTCACCGTGTGTCACGGAGGAGATCCCATCCCAAAGAGTCCGTTCAGCATCAGCGTGGCGCCTCCTCTGGACCTGAGCCGGGTCAAGGTCCAGAACCTCAACAACAGTAAGTTCTGGTGCTGGTTCTGGTTCTGGTGCTGAATGCTTCAGTTTACAGATACGGCACCGAAACAGTTCGGGAGGAAAACAGTCTGGCAGCAGGAGTGTAAAACATAGAGGAAAAAAATTATTTATTTTCCAAAACTAAAACATCGATGTGGTGAAACAACGTGAACTCAGAAACCATCACATGTATCAGGTTTATGTTTGTGTGTGTTTCATCTCGATGAAAACCTTCCTAACAGACTAACTTCCTGTTTGTCTCTCAGAGGTGGACGTCGGGAAGGACCAGGAGTTCTCCGTCTGCACCCGCGGCGCTGGCGGTCAGAACAAGCTGGACGTGAAGATCACCTCGCCGTCACGTCGACCAATCCCCTGCAAGCTGGAGTCGGGCTCCGCCAACGAGCTTCACTCGGTGAAGTACATCCCCCCCGAGGAGGGAACGTACCGGGTCGACGTCAGCTACGACGGGAACCCGGTTCCTGGGAGTCCGTTCAGCGTGGAGGGAGTGATGCCGCCCGACCCGTCCAAGGTCAGAGGCTGTCGGGTTGATGTCGAGGTTCAGTCGAGGCTTCCAGAACAAGAGACGTATTTCATAGTTTTCATATGTTCTTCACAACTACACTAAAAACTGAAGTTCATCTAAAAATCCTTTAACCTTCTGAACTCAAGATGTTTGTTGGCTTCTGTCACATTTTCAGTTAATGTAGTTTTGAGTCACTTTGGATTGTTCCTGTTGGGACGGTGTCGGTACAGTTTGGACAAATGGTGAATTATTTTGGATGGATTTAAAGGCGTTGTGAACGAGTTCCAAGTCCTTTTGGGAGGTTTCTGACATTCTAGTCAGTTGGATAA